GCAAATATTTTAGTGTTTAGGATTAAAAATATAGTTTAATTAATTTAATTGAATTGACTTTGATTTAAGCCAAATCATTATGTGGGCAGCTAAATTATGATAAGAGTGAAGTATTTTGGAGCCAATATAATAAAATTAGTGTTTCAAGGAAGATATTTTTACATTTGAAAAAATTTGATGAAAAAAATTAAGAGATAATTTGAAAGTGATTTTTCTAAGATTTAGACTGATTGCGAGTGTTTCATAGTGCATTGATTAATAAAATATAATGGAAATAACGAGTTGGTGAGGTCCGAACGATGAAAAATGTCTCATTTTAAAGATATGACATAAAATAAAAGTGTGAATAGATTTGAGTTATTTTCGTTTTCTTATGCATTAGAGTATTTAAATTGGACTCTAATTAAGTTAAATAGTATATTATTAATTATAAAGTATTGCATTATTGATATATGTTAAGGAAAGAGGTAAAATAAAAAAATTAAAATTTTTGGCACAAAAAAATTTTTGCTTGCAAAATCCTAGCGTAACATATATGTTACGGACAAAATTTGTTAATTTTATTAAATCTGTGCATTAATTTGAGCCAAACTCTTCGTCAAACTTATTTTTATACTGCAATTCATCAAATAAATGCAGTCTAATGTCCCAAAAAAATTCCGTAATTAACGGGTTAAAATTAAAACAAATGAAATTAAAAAGAATTTCTAGAATATTTTAAAGTATCAAAAATGACTTGAAGTTGAATAATTTCAACAAATTGAGAACTTCGTAGTAAAGTCTAGTCAACAATAGAAACATATAAAGATATAAGCTTTATAAAACGTAAAATAGCGTCAAGACTAAGAATTGAACTGAAATTCATCAGAAATCAAACATGGATCACGATCAATTTTAAAGAGTTTGAAGGATTTATCCCACACAACTAGGATCAAACAGAATCAAATATGTTTTTCCTAGAAGTTCTATTCATCCTACATGCAAAGTTCAAGCAATTTCAAAATTCTTGAAAAAGAAAATTTTTCTCATTTTAAAGTTGATTTAATATCCATTCAATGACTTTCATATTATTTTACACCTTCCCTCAACCACAAAGCTTAATAAGAGAAGAAGACATCGACAATATTTCTTTTAACAATCTTGCTTTTGTCTACGAGTTAAAATAACTAATAGCTTCTTTTCTCCATAAAGGAAATGAGCTCGAAAATGAGAAATGGAAATTCGACAATTTCACATTCTAAATTGTAATGGAAAATGAAATAGAACAAATTGGATGACTCGTGAGCCATTAAATTAAAAATAATTCTTTTGGCTCGTGCAAAGACGAAACAAATAAAAAGCTCGTTGTGAAGTGAAATAAAATTTTCAAATTTCTATAATCATGCTAATCGAACGAACAAAAATTATGTTTACCATCAAATCAAAATGACAAAGAGAATTTATTTTTTGAGGATGAAGGGAATTTGTGCTTTGATATTTATTTGTTTATTTTATTTACGAGTTATGGCGTTTCTGTTCGAGCTATTAAGCATGCTTTTTGGAAATATTGGGCTAGATTGCTTTGGCTTTGACTGGAAATGTGGTGTTTTGGTAAGTATTGCTTAATCTAGCTTTTTTAAGAAATGAAGCGAGAGACAAGGGGATTGTACAAGGGATTGAATTAGGGAGTTGGGGGGGGGGGGGTCTCAGTTGATATGTTAGAGGTTTCATTTAAAATAAATTAATTAATTTAAGAAGTTATCCATAAGATATGGGGCCGGTCCGTTCACTTATGACGTCTATTGGGGGGGAATCAGGGAACAATAGAAATTCTTGGAAATCTATTGTTCTAATTTGAAAAATGACAGTTAATTTCGGACGTCATAAGTGAAAGCCCCTTTCTTCATCGTATTTAAGGTTATGATTTTCGAACCTCCCCCCCCCCCCCTCGCCTGGCTCATGCTCTTTTTAGATCTCACTCAAAGTAAGCTAATAATGTTTTTATTTACTTATTACCATCATTGTGACACTAATTACACCTAGATTAGGTAATTAACCTATTTTGAGGTTAATAAGTCCCTATAAATCACATAAATAGCTTCACTGAATTAATCAAACAAATAAAATTTGTCAATAAGACCAAGAGTTCAATAAAGTCAACCAAACTGTAAATACCAATCGAAAACTGCGTCATAACCTCAAAATTCTTTCACCAAAAATATCCAATTTAATTCCCTCAAACAATGAGAAAGCTTTTTGGAATGAAAAATAGCTGTCTGTATTGTAAGCATACAATATGTATTATTACGGAGAATTTGGTTATCCTAGGATCATTAAAATAAATAAATGAAATTACATTAATATGCAATATCATTATTGTTAATACAATGGCAATAACCATACAGGAAATATTGACAATGACGATAGTAATAATCGATAATTGGGTCAAAGTCAGCGTATTGTGGTAATTGAACTAAAATTTATTGTATTGCAGACATGCTTAATATTGTATTGAACATTTATCATGCAAGTTAATAATGATTTTTTTTGGAAATAATTAGTGCATCTCATATGTGCATACATGAATATGCTGTTTTGGAGGACTGAACAATGTCGCATGACAGAATTGCAGTAAGAGGATCTGTGAATGAGTCAGTCTTTTAAAATAACTTTAAAAATTCAACCACATCAAAATGTAACGTCTTTTAAGAATTTAAACTTTGCTGACTTTCAAAAATTCAAACTTTAACGGCTATCAATAATTCAAAATTTAACGAGTGTTAAAAATTCAAAATTTAATGGCATTTGAAAATTCAAAATTCAACGACTTTCAAAAATTTAAAATCTTTCGGATGTAGACAAATTCAAAAAATTCAAGTCCGTTACAATTTTTTTTCTACCCCTCAAAATAACTTTAATTATTTTTATGAAAATGTATGAAATATTGAAAATATAAATTTAATTACTGCAAAGAGATCTAATGAAATGATGCCTACCCCAAAAAAACAAGGCTTCACAGCACAAGCAGGAGAACAAGGACAACAAACAATAAATAAAACTGAATTTTCATTCGACAAACATACACACGCACAACAAAAACAAGGAGCAAAAATTAAATTAATTTAATTTATATATTTTTAATAATAATCCAAATAAATGAACAACATCAGCAGCAGTATGAGTAGCAACGTCAGCTCGCTCTATAGTTTTGCAATTAAAATTTTATTTGCAAGCAGAATTAATCTGTTTGTTTGCCGTGTATAGTTATGTTCTGTTTTTCGTTCATTCCCACGTTTTTGTGTCCTCAATTATTTTCATTTTTATTCCCTCAATGCTGATAATAAAAACTGGCAAGTGCTTTTGAAGCGAAAATTTATGAATTGAGTGGAGAGAGAGCGAGCGGATATTTATTATGTACCGACTATGAATGTTGTTATGCTTTATTAGTTATATTATATTGATTTCTAGAATAATAATAAAAAAATGGATATTTATGTTTCGTTCGATTACTTATAAAATTATTTGTATGCACGGATATTAAATTATATTTATTATATCTAATGACAATGACAGGAATTCTTTCCCACACTTATTGTGGAATGCTCCTTGCTATGCATATAATTTTATTTAATATCATCGTGCATTTCTGTAATAAATTTTCAAATTGTGCTTCTAACTCGTTTTTGAGCCATAACTCTAAGATTTATGGGTATTTGAATGTTAATTGAATATTAACGGCTTTGTAGACTTTGAATTTTAAAGGCTTTGGGATCGTTCATTTATGACGTCCGATATTAACGGTCATTTTTCAAAAAAGAACAATGGAATTCTGGACGTCATAAGTGAACATCCCCTTTTGTTGCTTTTTGATTTTTATAGGTTTTGAAATATAATAATATAAACGGTTTATTAAAAATTAATTACTAATGGCTGTATAAAATTTGAATTTTAACGGGTTTGAAGTATTTGAATTTTAACGGTTTCGAAATATTTGAATATTACCGGTTTTGTAAAATTTGACTTAAAACAGCTTTGTAGCGTTTGTATTCTAACGGTTTTTAGAGTTTGAATATTAACGGTTTTGACTAGTTTGAATTTTAACGGTTTTATTAATTTTTCTTCCAATTTTTCAACAAAACATTAAATTTCTCACGTAACTCTAAAGAATCCAATATTACAGTAAATTCCATAGCTTGAAGCAAAAGAAATACCCCAAAAGTGTCATACACGAGTCACATTCCGAAAATATTTGAGGGTTGTCTTGGTAATGTGCTCTGCGAGACAAATAAGAAGAAATTTTTCAATAAACCATCCATGGTTTTCATTTTGTACCCAATTTTATCGTATGACATAATTTTATCATTATTTACAGCCTGTGGTTATGTTTCGAATATTTTCGAGCAGGAATAAGATGTAAAAAGGTTGAATTTCTTTATGATATATACAATTTTTTATTGTGACAACCAAAGAATGTTGTAGATTCTATCACAATTTGCTTCCATTATTTGGATTCTTATGAACTGTTCGTGCGATTGTAAACATCAAGACATTTCTCAACTTTGATTCTTTTCTGTCTTGGCTCTTGTTTTGTTCAGAAATCTTACAAAAGGTATCAAAAGTAAATTTTTCTTTGAATTTTATAATCATCTTGCTTTCTTACAATTTTGTCCGTTATGTAACACAATTTGCAGCGTGTAGCATTACATGGCTTTCTTTTTATCTTTATCGATTTTTTACAAACAAATTGGAACTTTTTAAAGAGCTTTAAAGTGAGCCACGTGCGATGAAGAAATTTAACGGAAAATGTATTTGAATCTTAACGTATTTTTTAAATTCAAATTTTGAACTTTAGTTTTGAACCACAAAAATAATAAATCTGATAGAAAAAATATTTTATTAATTAAATACAGCAGAAAAAGCAAGCTGTGACTAGCATAATTGATTGGTGAGCATGTATAAACAACTGAAGTACTCGATAATCATGAAATTAATTTCATATCTTGTGTATTTAACTATTTTCAGGTGCATTTAATTTTTTCAACATTAATTTTAATTAAGTTAATTAAAGATGTACTTAAACCGAAGAACCCATAAAGAACCAGAAATCAACATGCTTGTAACCAGGTAGGAACATCATTAAAAGTGAGAAAATTAAATATTAAACAATGTTTTTATTTATAAACTTCCAGTTCAATGGCAGCATGGAATACAGGACAATTAGGCCAAGAATTATTGGCAAAGGAACAAGAGAAGCTGTTAAATCCAATTCAAGTAGCACCAGTTAATAAGGAACAAAATTTAAAAGAAATAGTAAGGAAATATCAGGAAAGTCAGTATTATAATTATTCTGTATTTCTTGGCGAATTAGGACAATTGGGTTATTGTACATTGCCAATAGAAATGCCGACAATCCTAGAGATTGTACCAAAAACACAAGCAAATGATAGAGCATGTGGAACTTATGCTGAACACAGACAAAGAACTAAGCGAGAAAATGACACATTTGAGTGCAATAATGAGAATCCCAATAAGAAGTTCAAGACTGATGACGGATGGGGTGATGAATCAGCCACAACCACATCAAATTCAGGCTGGGGAGACGAAAATGGTATCAAAAGTGCCAATACTAAGCCTTCAAGGCCAAATCAAAGCCAATCAACTTGGGATGATGATGATGATAATAAGCAGCATAAAAGTCAAAATTATCGGTCTAAAGGCGATAATCGTAAAAACTATAACTCTGCAAATCGTATGCAGACAGGCTGGTCTGATGAAGAAAATGATCAATCGCGAAATAGCAAAAGATTTGGAGAAAGTCGCGGTTATAATGACAATAATGATCGAGGATTTGAAAGACGTGGAGGTGGAAATAATGATCGAGGCTTTCGTGGGCGTGGTCGTGGTAGAGGAAGAGGTCGTTGTGGTCAATGGGATGATAATAATAATGACAGATACAATAATAAGAGCAAAAATAATGAAAGTGCAGCTGCAAGTGGCTGGTCAGACGATGAAAGCAAGTCAACAACTAAATCTGATGTTGCTAACAATAACAAGACTAAAATTGATCCTATTGATGATTGGGACAATCCACAGCCGACTATAAAGCAGGATTCAGTAACAAATCCAAGCACAGCGTCAAAAGTTACCGATGATGGATGGGATGACTAGTTACTGCCGACCATTATAATTTGAAATAATTCGATATTCATTACTTTAACTTGATTTTTTTAAAAAGGAAACGCCGCATAAGATTTGTTTTTATTAACTTCTTAGAGAATTTAAAGAAGTTTTTGATATACTTTTGTATGAATTTATATTTACGATGAAGAATATATTAAACGCGATTTAAAATGAATTTAATTACTTTTTAATACTTCAAAACTGCTAATGAAATATAACGGTTTTCTCACATTTGAATTGCTAAGAAACTTACATTTATGAGTCGACGCTTTAAATTTTAAACGAATTTCAATTCTTAAAAGCACCCTTTAAAAGTGACGCTTTAGTTTTCAATATTTGAATTCTTAAACGCAACGCTTTAATTTTCAATATTTGAATTCTTAAACGCAACGCTTTAATTTTCAAAATTTTAACGGCTTTATATTTATTCATGCCTCACAATCCCCACACTAATACTATCACAGAAATTCTACACACATTCACTTCCTTTATTAAAGCTCAAAGCAACAAAACTTTGTATTTAATTTAATCACAACCAGTTCCTTGACTTCCCAATTCCCATCTATCAATAAAATGAACTTTTTTCTTCTTCTTATTCAAAGGAAAAGTTTAAGAAGCAAACGACATGACCGGAATTTATTATACCACAGCAAAGCACAGCACATGAAAATCACAATAGATATTTTTGTACACTGATAGATAAGTGATGGGAATGTTCGATCGAAGCAGAAGTAATAAGAAGAAATCTCAACGGAATTCGCGTAGTGGTATTGAAAGTTTTTTTTTTTTTTTTGCGAAAATAAATAGAATGCCGAGAATAGAGGATGTAAGTTCTGAGCGAAAGAACAACAAGAAAAAACTTTATTTTCTTCTTCTTGCGAATGGAAAACTTTTCTCTAGTTTTCTTCTTATTCTCTCCCCTTAAGTCTCATCTCACTCCTTGCCTGGCAAATTTTCAATCAATTTTCATGTGCATTATGTATTATTTCGCCGCTATACATGTTTATTTCTTTTAGTTTTTAGTTGATCAAAAAAATTACAAAAGTCCTCGTGCTATTGATCGAGGGACTTCAGCGCATTTTTGACGAAGCGATCAGTATTTGATTATAATTAATAATTTGCTGCAATGAATTTCCATATAGAAAAAGTTTATCATTTAACGGTTTTTTAAAATTTGAAATTTTACAACGGCTAGAAAAAATTTGAAATTATAGAGGTAAATTTGAATTTATAGAGGTAAAACAAAATTTGAGCAGGTTACACTGAAAACAAAACAAAAACTCATTAATTATAGCATAAATACACTGCTTGAAGACTTTTAACTGTTCGATCGGACAATAAACAATAGTAACGGAGCTAATAAAACAAATCCGAGCTCTCTACGATGTCTGGTTGCAAAGTTTTTATGCTTGCCCGAACGAACGAACGAACGAACGAACGAACGAACAAAGTGTATTATTGAGCTCCCTTTTCGAAAACAAGTTTTCAAAAATGCGCTAAAAAGAATTTGAATTTATTGGGAAATGAACGCATTTTCGAGTATTAAAAGCTGTTTTTTTTTTTGATTTTGTAAGTATGTGTTTTTACAAGTCATCAATTAGTTTGCGCTGAATATACATCTAATAATTGACTTTGAGGAAGTGGTAATTCAATTAATATATTAACGGATATTTAAAATTCGAACTATTTAAGAAATTTATTAAAGACACGAACCATAAAATAACGGCTAAATTTTGAACAATAATTCATGACACAAGCTGTTTAACTGAATTTCAAAAAGGAGTTAACCGACAATGCCCAACTCTTTAAAAGGGGTTATTTTACTTATTATTGGGGTTTGGAATTTTATGTTAAGTCAAACAAAATACAAGCTACATTACACCTAGAGTAGACACTACACATCTTTACAACTCCATGGACAGATTTTAACAAATTCGAAAATCTTAACCCAAAATCTCAATATCATCCAAAACGACTACCAAACTTCAATCCCCGACTAGAAAAAAAAATATGCTCAGAATAATTTTTTTCCATCCCCGCCGATTATTGAAACTACAAAAGTTTTTATATATGTTTTCAATAGCTTTCTATGTGCACATCCAACAGTGATGATCACAGTATGGAACATTGAATACGAAATCTGTTCCCATAAACTGCTGTCGATGATTGTTTATGCTGGTCTACTTGATGCTTACCATAATCGTGAGAAATAAAACTTTCTTAGTTTGCAAAGAGTTTTACTTTGTCTGATTGCTCCGCAAAAATAAAACTTTTCTTTTATATCTTTATTGTTTATCAATAATAATAATATCTTCCTACTTTCTTCTCGTTCTATGGCATGGGTGTAGTAAGGGGGTTTAAGGAAATACTACAAAGGTTGTAATTTTTGTAGGAAAAAAATTCGTAGTTTCGCACCCCTTTTGAAAAAAGAAAAGTACAGACCTCTCGTTCTATTTAATGAACCCCTCTTTCAATGTGTCTTTGGTCCACAATAATCCCCTTATCCCTGCAAAAATTTCCTGTCACAGCCCCTGATATCCGACTGTGTCAAGCGAGGACGCAAACTAGAGAAGTGGAACTCGACGAAAGAAATTTAATAAATTTTCTGCAAACTAAAGAGCTTGAAACTTTAGTCATTACGAAAGCAGAAACATTATGAAATTAACAAGAGAATTAATAATGAGAAAAATTTGCATTTTGCGTGAGAATTGACTGCAAAGGAGGGAATTGCTATTAACAATTATTATCATTCCGAAATGATCGCATTAATTTCAATTAATCATTATGTACTGAAAATTGCATTTTTCCCCATAATATCCTCAAAAATCTCATAATATCTTTGTAGTAAGCGTATTTTGGGTAATATTCTGGCTGATAATTATTGAATCTGTTTTTTTGGAGCCGCTTTTTTATTGGAGGTGTAACATAGGTGAGCATTTTAGCTGACTAGCTTTAGGGTTGTGAATTTGCGGTTAGGTTTAATTTAGAACAGGCAAGGGCAGGTCCATAGCCAGGAATTTGAAGACGGGGGGACAATTTTTTTTTTGTTTGGAAAACTTTCAAGGGGGAGGGGGTATTTTTTCGAGTTTTCCATAAAAACTATAGCAAAATGAAGAAATTTCTCTAGACGAAGGGGGATTTGTTCCCTAAATCCACCCCCTGGCTACGCGCCTGGGCAAGGGGAAATCAACATGGAGGGGAAAAATTTTTAATTTTATACCAATTTCTCTTTCAGCGCGGAAAGAGATCAGATTGACCATCGTCAAGACAAAAAGACATCGTCAAGACAATTCTTCTGTAGTTTGTCAGTTAAAAAAGTCTATATAAATCCAATTTGTATCAAATATTCATACTATGTGCTTACTTGTGTGTGAACGATGAGTAATTGTTCAAATGTGAAGAAAATAACACAACATATGAAATGTTTTATGATGGCTATAAGTGCTGATCCTTAAAGAACCTAAAATATATGGCAATTTTAAAAACGAATTAGTAAAATAAAAATAAATTTAATTCTTAATTAAGATTTGCTGTTTAAATTAAAGTTTCATGATATCAAATTCACTTTCTCTGTTGGAAATTAGTCAGAAAAACTTTCAAAAAGGCTCACGTAAAGCCTACGTTACGTAAAATGATTAAGTAAAATCACACAACATTATGTTCTACGTTGCGTTTGCTCTTTCTCGATGTAAATTAAAGATGGAAGTCGATGGACAGGTAAGGGAGAAGCTGATGCAAGATAAAGGAGAGATTAAACTGAGAAAGCAAATTTTTTGATGGTTCTTCTTTCATAGTTAATCATATCAAGTTTAATTTCAACCAAGGAAATGAATCAATCGTGTTTTCATTCCATTACTGCTCACATTTCAGGCTTTGAATCAGAACAGTCCGAGATAGAGGCAAAAACGTTCTTTACCACACACCTGAGCATGAAAAAGAACCACAATTTAGGGTTAGGGTTAGACGCTTGTAATTAAGCTTCTATTGATTACAACCCAAATCATCAGAGGCTCATTTTTCACATTAAACTACACGATACGTCATTGGACCTGATGTAAGTCTAATGCTGTGTGTGAGAACAGGCATCTAGACAAAAAATTGCAAGTCTCTTTTACGAGCAAGCAATCAATGTCCTTGATGCCACTCTACATCAAGGATGAACCAATCAATAGCCACGATAGTAAGTCTCACAGGCAGAAACACATGACTCATAGGCTCGATTTACAAAAAAAAACAAGAACAGAAAAACTTTTTAAAAAAGGGTCAAAAGACTTTGCTCCCTCAAGTTTTACCCCTCCTCATTTTGCATCGACCCCCCTGACCTATTCAACGACTCCCACTCTTAATTTACATCAACAAAGGCTGACGAAATGTAAAACTCAATGCAATGCGTTTTTAAATAATCATTTCAAGTATTGCAAGCATTACGTACGCAATTGCAGGAAGTCAAATGGCTGGTTTCATTAAAGAAAAGTAATTTGAAAATCTGAATGTGTTTCAGATGACGTAGATCAATTAAATTAAAGTCGCCCTTGAATGTCTTATTTATCAGTATACTTAGCTTTTTCTTCGTTGTCACTAGCCTCTTGCTTCTTTAATTGTGTCCTGGTTCCTTCAAGCTTCATCAATCTCACTTTCACTTCAATTTTACAGCTTCTTGAATTTAATTATCTTAACTTTCAATGTTCACTCAGAAAATTTCATTTTTTCTTCACTTTTAATTTTTTCTTCATTTTTAATTTTTTCATCACTTTTGGCAAATTTTCACTGTTGTTTCCATTTTAGCACTTCACTATCACTTTTATCTTGAACTCCACTTCTTTTTAAGCATTATTAATGTCAAGTTCCAATTTATTTGCACCGATTTGCAAAAATACTTAAAAACACGTCTTCAAAGAATTAAACTGAAGAAAATTGTGAAAAAATCGAAAGTCAAAGGTTGCTGAGAAATTTGAACTTTTTTGACTGATTGTGATTTCACATTTTTGCGTTAATTAAGGGTGTATTCAGCTCGAAAATTATCAAAAATATATAGTATTAATTAAAAATTTTAAAAGCTTTTTATTTAGGTTTTTAAATCAAATTTAAATTCTATTTGATTTGATTGTCAAATTGATTCTTTTGACAATAATTTCCGTTTGAAATGCAATTCTTTTTGGTTTTAGAACAATTCTT